GTTTATTTGAGCCCCTCGTTTGCCAAAAAAAAAATAGAAATAGTGGCAAAAAGCACAGTTCACAAATGCTGCGGAATAAATCGACATAAGGAATTTATTATGTTAAAAACGATTTTATATTTATATAGCACCACGTGTCTTGACTACTAAACTGACTAAATCATATGTGGGTTAGGAACTTTCGGTAAACAGACGGGAACACACAGAATTCCCACAAACCGCGAAAGGGTTCCCGATGCATATGAGATGTATTCCCAATGGTACTCATGTCTCACTACCAGGATATCTAATTTTCTGCCACTCAATCATTAAGTACATTTCCTTAGACTTTACAGCATTACGAGCTGCTATACTTATCCTACACGTGGCTAGAAATATGGGGTGTTTCCTAAGTTAGTGCAGAAAGTAATGTGAAGTATTCTATACCCAAATTAAGTTTGGTTAAAGAAAAATAGATCTTAAGGCTGTAGCTTCCGAGCTACAAGATTTTCAAAATAAAAAAACATTGCTAATATCTAAATCAGTTGAGATATGTATAACAAATTTGGTACATGTTTTTAGTTTGTTGGTAAGTACAAAAATATTATAGAGTTTGTTAGTAACCAGTGCCGGAGCTATGGGTACTATTATGTCTATCATAATAGACAAAATGTGTCTTCAAACGATACTTTGCATTTTTTCATTTTTTATTTTTTTTACATTTGTTCATATTTTTTCCTTTTAGCGACGAAATTGATTCTCTTTTTCTTTTCCAATATGTAAGTATTATGATATTATGTAGTATGTTATGAACAAGTTGAACCAAATAATTTAATTTTTTTATTTAATTATTTCTTGGGAAAGCGGTCACAAATAAAATTCATCAACATAAAAGCTTACAGATTTATTAAAATTACGTATGTTTTGGGAATTTTTTGCCATCTTCAGATTTTACAGAAAACCTTGTTACCGTTACCTACTGTGCAAAAATAAGTAACAAAATAATTGGCATTAGCATAATATTTTTCTTAAATACTCACACTATAATAACAACAGTCCATTTTTATAACACTATAAATTTTAAACTTTTAAGTTGGCGTAAGTATGCAATGTATTATAAAAATAATAAAAAAAGATTTACACTTTTTTTAACTTTCGTCAACAACATATTAAATAGAAATGAAATATTTAAGCTATTCAAACGACGAAAACAAAGCAAAGGACAAGAACTGGAACGTTTGTAAAAATTAGCAAGAAAAGAGTTTTTTTAATTAATATATAGGAAGTGTAAAAATCTGCAACATATACCGGGTGGGCATTTATCATAAGACAAAATAATATCTCGGTTCGACTTGATTATTTCGAAAAAAGTTTCATACAAAAAGGGCACGGAGGAGACCATTAAAAGGTCCGGTCTGACCGGAAGTGGTGTTTTTAGACTGAAAGTTGTTTTTTTTTAACGGAAACATCCATTTTTTACCACGGATTTCGATTGACGAAAAAAAATACTTTTTGTTATTATTTTTTCAATTTAACCCACATTTTGGCCATAAAAAATAAAAAAAGCAAGAATCATGAGACAACAGAGTACCTTGTTGGAACCACTTTTTTTTTTAATGTTTCATACAAAAGTTGTATGATAAAAATTGGGCTATCTTGGCATGACCTTGAAAATGACCTTGACCTTAACTTCAAGGTCGTTTGAAGATTAATACACACTTCAGTCTTCAGCAAATCATAAAAATCTTCAGAAATCTGAAGAAATTCTTCATTTCACCGAAAACAAGCACCCCGAAGGGAAAAAACTACTACGCCCAAGTCGTTATTCTTGGATTATTGGGTAGTGCTAAAAGTACTTAATAATTATACAGTTTTACGACCTTAAAATGACCTTAATATCTGATCTTGTTCTTAAGGTTCATATCTTATTGTAAAACTTCCGCTCTTGTAATTTCCGAGGTCAAAAAAGAGGGTCCTATTTAAAACTTTGAATTTGATCTTTGAACGACCTTGATGTCAAGGTCAAGGTCATTTTAAAGGTCATGCGAAGATAGCCTCCTCTTCATCCTCCAATTTTTGTATGAAACTATTAAAAAAAGTGATTCCAACAAGGTACTCCGTTGTCTCAAGAGATTCATGTTTTTTTTGTTTTTATGGCCATTTTGTAGCAAAATATGGGCTAAATTGAAAAAATAAAAACAAAAAGTTTTTTTTCGTTTTTCAATCAATATCCGTGGCAAAAAATAGGTATTTCCATTTAAAAAATCAACTTATGGTCTAAAAACACCACTTCCGGTCTAGACCTTGAGTCGTAATATAGACGTTTCAATGACCCCCTCGATGCCCTACAATTTTTATCTGAAACTTTTTTCGAAATACTCAAGTCCAACCAAGATATTATTTTGTCTCAAGATAAATACCCCACCCGGTATACTTTAACAATTTATTATTATTTTGTTCAATGCTTAGAATTTCAACATTAATTAAAATCGCCAATATAATATGTACCATTGCATTTATTTAGTGTTCATCACTGACGCAAGTTAAAAGTTTGTAAATCTTTTATTAATTCTAATAATGTAATAAATGTTATTGCATATTTACTACAATTTAAAAATTTTCAATTTATATTTATAAAATTGCATTGTTATAAATATAACTAAACTGTGATTTAAAGAAAGAAATAATATTAATTATGCCATTTCCAAAAATTAAAAATATATATTTTGTTATTCCTATTAGTATGGATATAACAATAAGGCTCTTTTGTAAAATCTGAGGATGGGAAAAAATTCCTGAAACGAAAATAACTTTAATAAAGTAGAAGAATTTTATTTATGAGCGCTAGCTGTTCCAGGGAATAATTAAAAAATTAAAATTAGTTTGCATCCCGGTCAGGATATTTATACATGTTAAAAATATAAAATGAATTATGATACTACGCTACAGGGGTAGCTTTTATTATACCAATCAGCTATTGGTTGTCGTAGTTGCTCTTCATTTACAATAGGGTCTTTGTAAATTAATTACGTACTTAGGAAACACCCTGTATGCCTTATTAAATACCTACTCCTTAGTATTTAATACTTTCAGTTAACTTCAAATTTGTTAAAATGAACTTTTAAATAAAAATTTCTATTTATCTTACAGATATTTAAAAGTGGACGTCTTTGCTTCTTTTTCTTATCTATTATAATTCCAAAATATAGCTACATATTCTACATAAAACTGTTTGGCAACATGAAAATTCTGCTAATTTAACATGATATGGCGTTAAAATCCCAACAATAGTAATGTATTGACGTTAAATTTTTCATCTAGAGGTAAAAGGACATAGCCCACCAGATGTCAGTGATTGCGTTGGTGTCAGATTACAATTTTTTTTAATATAGGTAACATGAAACTTGTTTTATTCTTTAATAGAACACTCTGTATACGTTATTGAAAGGAGCAAACTGTTTGGTGGTTTAAGGTTTGTGTTCATATGTAATAATAATGTATGATGTTAAAATATTGTGCCATAAGCTTCATGGGATAATGAAAGATTATAGTAGTGGCTTAGCAACTAAATGTATCTAGCACAGTATGATTGTGGCATTGGATTTATCCTGCTTAGTATTAGAGATAGAGTTGTCAAATTTTATATGATTAAAATCATAACAGTTCTTTACAAATAAATGCAAATGTACAGGATGTTACAATAAAAAAGTATAGTTTAAAGTTTTATTTGAAAAAGAGGTAACCTGTCTTCGATGCATCATCACTATCATCAAATCGATCATGTCCTTTTACGTCGAGATGTTAAATTTGAGGTCAAAAAGTATCTTGTATATAATATGTAACTGAAATAAAAAATATTAAGTGTGAATGTTTTACTAAAAATACGAAGGCACGTAAATTTTTATTTTTTTATTTTTTTGACATTATTAAATTTTTGTATTAGTGTTTATTGGTACGTCTGACAAGTAAACTGATACTCCACAAGGAGGAATCAATTACCTACTGTGTAGAAATTATCAGGTTAATTTTCCAATACACCCGTTTATTTTTTTCTCTTCTCTCTTCTTTGTCGTGTGGATCTACAAGTTACAAGGATTTTTAAACCTGAAACAAAGAAATTGCTTCTTTATTCGTTTACATACAACTAAATATAGTTATTACTTTATTTTACATAAAATTGAAAATTACTTTACTATTACAGATCATACAGTAATTAAATATATTCGAATTCACAAACAACAGAAAGCATATATTTTATGCAAATGTTATAAAAGTTACTGTAGATATTAAAAGTATGGTTATCAAGGAAAGAAAAGCAGTGCTATGTTCTAAAGAAGTAAATTGGTAATGTGTACAAAAAAATTGTTAAGGGTAACTATGGTTCTATAACCGTACTAAGTAATTTATATTTTACAAACGGAAAGATTTCAGTTTCAGAGAAACATAATTTTAATTGAATTATATTATAATAAGGTTTAGAAACACGAATTGATGACAGCAACTAATAAATGTTCCTTCTGAGATCCTTTTCCTGCTTAGCGATATCGTCAATTGGATACAATTATGTTTGTACTCATTTCCTCGAACGAAACCTGCTTTATATCAGCTCTAATCGGAATAGCTCAAAAATAACAACTGACGTGTCTTGGTGTTTTTCGTAAAGCTTCTTTTTTCTTTCACACTCAATATTCCTCTCTTTAAACATATTTGAAATAATTAAGTATTATGAACATTATAAGTGGTGATATAAAAAAAATTTTCGCACATGTTGATTATTTTCATATTTCACGCCTATATTTCAAATCCTCATTTTATATACTTTGTTAAGTAAATATCTTTCACCTTCATACCACGACCATTTAATGCAAGCGATAGCGTACACACGTGTTTGCACCAGCTGGTTTCCATCGCCTGGAAAAAAAAACAGCATGCGATGCATCCCTGCATGCTCTGCACTACCAGAGATCAAAGGACGCGTTCTCTAAAATTCCTTTCACGTGTTTCTTTGTCTTTTTTTCTAGAAACGCCGCTATGGCTGCTGCTGCAAATCTCTCCGATAAAGAACGAACGGGACTTGGTGGTGCTCTTCCTGCTGACGTTCCGGGACATCACCGCTTTGAAACAACCTATAGAGACGGACGATACCAAAGGAGGTAAGAATAAAAATTAGAAATCAACTCGTTAAAACACGTTAAGCGCCAAAGAAAATTTGATATATTCATCACTGGGCTTATGAATGCACCTTATGGTGCCTTTCAAACTAAGCCTTTATCTATCAATAAGTCCTTCTGCTGCAAAATTTTCAAAAATATAAAACAGACACCGGTGTCTGCACTGGCCCTGTGATTAAATTTTGCCTTGTTAGGCCAAAGCAGACACGTTTTGCAGACACATCATGATCTATCACATGGCCAAAACAGACACATTTAGCAGACACATAATTGTTAGCAGACACGTCCGAACCTGAATTTTCTGGCGGGGTATGTTATAATGGCGTGGTAGAAACGAGTGCAGTTGCAGTGCAAAAAGCGCCATAATGAGTAGCAGATCGAAGCGACTAGTACAATTAGCTAGGGAACAACTCAGCCCAGGTTCTATTTGGATTGCTTCAATGAAGCACATAACTAATAATATTAGTATAAGTAAATATTATTTACTTTGTTTTGTTTATTTTACCATTTTTATTTTTGTCATTTCTAAATGGAAGATCAACAACATACGTTGAGTTTCTTTCGTCGATTTCGTTTCAATGTATGTTTATTTTTGGTAATTACATCCCCGTGTCTGCTATGGCCCTGTCATAGAACCCCAAAAAAGCAAATCATCAGTGGGCCAAAGCAGACACAAAATCAGACACATGTCATAAAATCAATACACAACGCGCTTAGGCCTGCCCACGTATAGGGATATTTGCGGATGAGCCAGAGCAGACACTCCACCATAGGAATTGTAGATTGAAAGTGCCTGTTCGGCACATTTGGACAAATACTGAAACAGACACCGATGTCTGCGCTGGCCCAGTGATTAAAATAACGAACAGACACCGGTGTCTGTCATGGCGCTTAATGTGTTAATTAGTGCATTTATTTCTCTAAATATTATGGATAGGGAGAGATTTTCTTTCATAGTATATAACTTTTTTCACTGAAGCGTGCAAAATTTGATAATAGATGTCGAAAACTATATAAAACTTGTTCCTTCGAGAGAACAAACTTGATGGAGCTTCAAAATATGTAATTAGTGAAATACTTACGCCTTGTCTTGAGTTAAAACAGCTGAATAATTCGTCGGTAGTATTACCTGTGGCGTACTGATGAGGTCCAATAAGTCCGAAACCGATCTATGTCACATGACTCGATTGAGGCTAATAGCTGTTTATCTAGATGCAAGTATAATTCAATGCTAGCCAGGGCAGGTAGTCCTCAGAGTAGCTGTTTCCAGCAAAATCGCCAGTTTAAAATTTTAGATGCGCGCATCCGTTATATTACAAGTTGCTCTTTGCCGGTATAGGGAACCTATTGATCTTCTGATTCTGCTACGTCCCTTGTACAATGTATTTGCTTTAACTTACTTATATATTTCGTGTCTAAGAATGTATCTTAATTGAAGATGCATGTACTGGGAAAATTGTTAACTTGCTCTAGGTTAAAGTTTATTCAAAATATTCTGGAGAAGGCACCTTAAGAAAGAGAAAGTAGGTTAATTCACACTGGATTTTTTTGAGAAATGTTGCATTAGTAATATATTTACCGATTACAAAAATGTCTAATACAGGGTAAATGAGGCAAATACACGGATTTGTGTTGAGTAAAATGTAATTTTAAAATTTGACTTACCTCAACTTTGCAAGCAGCCGCCTTTTGAGAACTGCTAATGTTCATAGGAGATGTTCGATGTACCCACCATTTGCTTGCACACAAGCTTCAGCGCGACGGATCCAATTCGCTCGCACGGGTTGCAACATTGCCACGTCCTATCGAATCGTATTACAAACTTAGGCAATACGATGTCGCAGTTGGGTCCGGGGATCGGAAGGCCATCTTACTAGGCTACCGCGACCTACCCAGCAATCGGGGAAAGTAATGTTTAGAAAGTCGCGTACTCTCCGAAGAAAATGGGCGGAGGCTCCGTCATATAGTAACCACATATTTTGCCAAACATTTAATGGCACGTCTTCCAATATCTGCGGCAAGCGATTTTGCAAAAAATCTAGATATGAAGCACGGTCTAAGTGTCTAGGCAATTCAAAAGGTCCTATTAAAGTGTCATTAATGATACCAACCCACATGTTCACTGAAAACTGTTGCTGAAAAAGGCTCCGCGACGTATTTCGTGTTGATTTTCAATAGTCCAGTGGTAAGTGTTGTGGACGTTACGTACAACATTTCGACTGAAACATGTTTCATCTGAAACAAGTATTTTCGCTGTAAATTAAGGATTTCTTGCATGCAATCATTTGCAAAAACCTCGACGTAGTGGAAAATCCTCAGGAGTAAGCGCTTGAGCACGTTGAATATGAAATGGGTACAACTGAGCTTCTCGTAATATCCGCCACACATCGGAATGCGAAATATTTACTTGCTGTGCGATATTTCTGGTGCTACGATGTGGATCTTCTTCGGCAAGATCTAAAATCATCTCCTCGACATTTAAGATTCTTAGTGGTCGCCCTGGGCTACCATCGCGACCTCGACGCGGTTGTACTTCACCGGTGTCCAAAACTCTGCGCTACAGCAACAAATGTTCGCGGTGCGGGGACACGTCGTTCAGGATCTTGCACGGTACACTTGACAAGCTTTGTGGGGATTTTCGTTGGCTCCGCCATAAACTATGAGCATATAATATTCGCGATTGCCAAATAAATGCGCCATTTTCAAAAGAAAACTTGGAAATACGGTTATTAAATATACTCTCGAAAAACAATATAGCAATCACTACAGCAATGTATTACAAACTGACTTTCGAATGCAGTCCGGCTTCATTAGAAACCTATAAACTCGTAAAAAGTGTTACAGAATTTTTTGTAAATACTCGCCGCGATAAAATACATGTATTTCAGCGGTTCCAAAACAGTTTTAAACACATTTTTAATTAGCTTTTTTCTCTATGCCCTTAAACTTCCGATACAAGTTTGTGACATCAGTTTTTGCTCCTTTTTCACCCATTTAAATTTTTGACATAAGTTCATTAACACCCTGTATAAACACGTTTCAATAGATTTATGAAAATACAACACTTTCTGTTTCGTAAACTATATACAGGGTGTCCGGTAAGTACCTCCTAATCTCTCGGGAGTGTATAGGGGAGGTCAAAATAAAACTAGTCCTTCCTATATTTTTTTTTCCTAATGTGCCCCCTAACGGAGTTATGGGGGGTCAAAGGGGTACCTAGAAATTAACGTTTAGGGTTATAACTTTGAAACCACCCTGTATATTTTAATAAAATTTTCGTACGTTGTATTACACATGGAGCTCTACGATTTGATGCTAAAATCAACTTTTTGCTATTATCAGGTGTCCAGAAACGGACTGGCCCTATCACAATTTTTCTCAAAATTTTGACAGAAGTAATTTTATCAAACTGAAAATATTATTATTAGATACTCTGAAGGTTTTTCTTTAAAAATGGTACTCTTTATTTATTTCGAAAAAATGAACGGTTTGCGAGATAAATCGGTTTTGAAAAAAATTGGTAACAAATACAACAACAATTAAAATTTATTTTTTTACAATAAAATCATTCCCGCTAGTGCCAGCCTACAGATTCACCATAAACATTTACTGGTGGTGAATTAAGGGAATGAATAATGCCGTTTCTTGTAAAATCAACATCTATGACCAAAATACATCTACAAATTATTATTGCTCTTGTCTCCATGGAGTTCTTTTCTATTGTTTTCGTTGTTAGACCCTGTTGATTTTAAAGTACTTGTCAAAGGCGCGTGACAGAATAAAAATTCAATTTTATTGTGGTATTCGTTTTAAGCCGTTAGAAATAACATTTAAAAATGGAAGAATATTCCTGTGCAGAATATGCTGATATGCACCTAATTTATGGGGAAGCATTATGCAACTCCGTGGAGGCAAGAAGACTTTATGAGGAAAGGTTTCCGGGTCGACATTTGCCGAGTCCAAAAACTTTTGAAAGAGTTGATCGTAGTTTAAGAGAAACAGGTAAAAAAAAATAGTGAAAAACGTTAGTGAAACTAATTTCTTCCGAATCCTTTATTTAGGAAGCTTTTTGCCACGCCGTGGTGGAGCAGGAGCCCCGAGGAGAGTACGAGACCCTCATGTAGAGGAACAAATATTGGAAGACGTTGCTAATAATCCTTCAAATAGCATAAGGAAGCTTGCGGCGCAAAACAATGTTACAAAATGGGCTGTACATGAAACTCTGAAAGAACAATTGCTTTACCCGTACCACATCCAAAAAGTACATGCTATGTCTCCAGATGATTATCCAAAAAGACTTCAATACGCCAATTGGTTTTTACAGCATCATATTCGGAATCATAATTTTGGTACATCTATTTTGTTCACCGATGAAGCAGGTTTTACAAGAGACGGCATAATTAATTCGCATAATCTACATGTCTGGGATGAAGAAAACCCTCACGCTTTAGTTCAAACTCGCTACCAACAAAGGTTTATGGTGAATGTGTGGGCTGGCATTATCGGGAATCATTTGATTGGTCCATTTATTCTGGAGCAAAGACTTAATGGTGCTCTTTATTTGCAATTTTTAGAGGAAAATCTAAATATTTTGTTAGAAGAAGTGCCCCTTCAAATAAGAACTGAAATGTGGTACATGCATGACGGTGCACCACCCCACTTTGATCGTTTAGTACGTCAACATCTGACGAATGTTTTTGGTGATCGATGGATAGGTCGAGGCGGACCTGTATTATGGCCACCTAGGTCGCCCGACCTAAACCCATTAGACTTTTTTCTGTGGGGTCATTTAAAAAATAACGTTTATTCAACACCCGTAAATAGTAGAGAGGAACTTCTGCTGAGGCTAACACAGAACTGTGACCATCTCCGCAATAATCACGGAATATTATTTCAAGTGCACCGGGAAAACATTCGTAGGATTAGAAAGTGCATTGAAGTACGGGGTGCTCATTTTGAACATCTACCGAAGTAACATTTAGGTACCTTTGTTCATTGTTGAATGTTCTTTGTTGCATGTCTTGTAAGTAAGTTATTTTTCAAATGTTATTTTTAATTGGTCACTACTTGCTCATAAAGTATAGCCAACCCGTTCAAAGATTTCTGGACTTGATAAAGTTAAAGAAATTAAATGCATGAAATAATATGTAAAAAAAATAAATTTTAATTGTTGTTGTATTTGTTACCAATTTTTTTCAAAACCGATTTATCTCGCAAACCGTTCATTTTTTCGAAATAAATAAAGAGTACCATTTTTAAAGAAAAACCTTCAGAGTATCTAATAATAATATTTTCAGTTTGATAAAATTACTTCTGTCAAAATTTTGAGAAAAATTGTGATAGGGCCAGTCCGTTTCTGGACACCTGATAATAGCAAAAAGTTGATTTTAGCATCAAATCGTAGAGCTCCATGTGTAATACAACGTACGAAAATTTTATTAAAATATACAGGGTGGTTTCAAAGTTATAACCCTAAACGTTAATTTCTAGGTACCCCTTTGACCCCCCATAACTCCGTTAGGGGGCACATTAGGAAAAAAATTATAGGAAGGACTAGTTTTATTTTGACCTCCCCTATACACTCCCGAGAGATTAGGAGGTACTTACCGGACACCCTGTATATCGAAAAAGAAAAGCGTAAAGTTCTAAAACCGGTCAAAAACTTTCACCTCTTCGCCGTTGTATCTCTTATATGTATTTACCTACATCCAAATACATTTTCCTTAAATAGACTTTAAGAAGTTACATTTATCAATTTACTACCTATAGATCATATCGTAATAGGTCTTGTCAAATTTACAAGGTAGTTCTAAATGAAAAGGGGTTGAGATGAAATGAGTAACACAAAGCAAACTTGATATTACTAATGTCAGTTATAGAACAAAAATGAAAGTATGCATATAGAAAAACTATTCTAAATCTAATAAAACCTCATCTAATAACATTTATAATTTATACCCTTATAATATTTTTCCTGGCAAAGGAACGGGCGCAAATCCGGTATTTTACATAAAAATGTTTTTTTTTTGCAAAAACTACGTAACTTAGGTATAGGGAAAGCTATTAAAAAATTGTAGGGTCTACAGAAAGGCATCTAATGAAATCATAAAACACAGGGTGTTTTATTTGAAAAAGTCGAGATATTTCAAATTTTAAATTATCAGGTTTACCACATTTTTTTTGCTCCCTGTATATCGCAGGTCAAGTTTTGATACGTTTTTTGAAAGAGCCATCTTCACTCTACAGTTCGTGAAAAAAAAAATAATTTCTAGCTGTCATACAATCATAATTATGACGAAACAAGAAAAAAAATCGATCGAAAAGTCGATTATCTCGAAAACTATCAGTATTTTAATAGGGATCATAACACAAAGTCCCGTTAATTTTTCAAGTAGAATTCGATAATGCCATAAAACATATAGGTTTCCATTTAAAAAAATTAAGTTGGTACCTGCGCAGGAAAAAGTGAACACCCTGTATATGCAAATATATTTTCATTTTGTGCAGCTCGGGAAAGTAGGCAACTCTGTAGAAAAAAATCACATCACTTATTGTTGTGATGGAAATAGAATGGAATAATAATGAGTGAAGAATTGCAAGAGGGCCACTCAAAGATTTCTAGTCGATATACAATGCACTAGAGAAATGAAGCCTAGTATGGGTCTAAAACAAACAGTGGAAAAGGAACAGTAATACTAAAATTGAGACCGAGATGACAATGGAAACTATAGCCTGGTGTGTTTCCTATACTATTTCAAGTTGAAATTTTTGCTTTAAATGATATAGAATTTGTGGAGACTGCATACTTAAGCATATCTAGATATTTTGCGATAATAAAGCTACAATCCTCCAAATCTGCTCCAAACTTTATTACGCTTAATAAATTGAACTGATAGACATCAAACCGGTGAAGCTGTATTGGGTAATAGGACACAGATGCTGGAGGGAAAGAGAAAACAGATGAATTTACAAACAACAGGTATCTGAGACAGTATTCCTAGGCATTTGGTACTACTTGCACTGCCGTAACGAAGGCTTTGATTAAATCGACCCATATGGAACATTGTGAATTGACTAAAAACTAAGGCATACTCAAGAGAGACATATTTAGTATGAGCAAGCTCAACCTCAGAGACATCGCAGGACTTTCAGTAGGGCACATACTTAGTTTCTTTACGACATGAAATTAGTGTACAATAAATTTGCAAGTGTTGTAACTGGAAAGACGAATTCTTACTGTAAATCCTCTGCATACATCTTTTTTAAAACGCGAACGCATTAAGGCAAATATCAGCGAGCAGACTTTTGGTCTTTGTACAAAGAAGAAGGCTGCTAGACGAATCAATGCAGGTACTTACAGTGGCAAGCACAATAGGCCGGAATTGGCTGCTATGCTTCGGAAGTAAACCCAAGGGTTTGAGAAAAAAAGAGCCTACTTGTGATGTGAAGTACAATTAAAAAATTTCAAAGATCGAATGATTATGCTGTATTAATTGTAGGTGTTATCTTCTCAGCTTTGAAAAAATATGCAAAGTGTTTTAACTGACTAGCATGATTTGAAATTAAGTTTTTCATTAACTCAATACTTTGTTGTTGGCATCAATTAATTTTCTTCCTCTGGTACTTCATTTGGTTCCAAGTAATTTATGAGTTATCTAATTGTAACATTATCCCATTTAAAAAAAATCCTAATGAATAAAGTTCCTATCCGCATATGTTCAATTAAAGTATTTGTACGTACTGATAATACATTAGACAACCATTCTGTTAGTTCAGTAAATAATATATTGCTATTATTTTACTAGAGTACTAACAGTACTTCTAGTTGGGATGGCACTATCTCAATTTAGTTGAGTTCAAGCACAAATGAACAAACATAAGTAGGATATTTTAAATGAAACAACTAGAAGAAACAAAATCTTAATTTTTAATAAGTAAACAAACAAAATGAATCAAACCATCAGTTCTCTATAACTAGAAAGATATTTTAAAATATTTTTCAACCATATTTTCAACTCATTACAAATAATTATTTTGCAAATTTACTTAAAGGGAGTTATTAGTCATTCTGAACGTATTCATATTTTTTTATCAGTTTCTTCTAAAAGCTATAAAATTTTAGTTTTTCTGAATTTTCAGTTTTTTCCAGTTTTTCTAAAAAACGGCTTTTTTCGAAAATTTTGAACTTCTAATCTCTGACACAATTCTGTTGTGAATTTTGTGATGCCAGTTAAACATTTTCATAGATTCTTTTGATTTCACAGTCATCATTTACTTACTTCTTATTAATCGCATCTTTTCATCACACTTAAGATAAATCATGAGAACGTGTTGCCGCCTAACAAACAGCTTCAACCTAATATTGCATCTGCAGTTGTTCAACTATGACAGAACCGTGAGAACGCCCCTATTGTAAGGCGCAAAATATCTGCCTACCACCAACATTTATAGGGGTTTGGGTCTGGTAAAATATATATAAGAAGACCCTTTCTTCCAGTTCGATACACGTATGCTTTGTACAAAATGATTTACTAAATGTAGCGAAGGTGGCGCAGAAAATTATGCTATATATCAGCAGTCGCGGTCCACAGCGGTAATCAGGGACTGAATATTTGAATAAGACTTTCAAAATAGGGATCGACTCGGAGTTTTGGAAGATCTGGGGAATATCGGATGGCTCACAAGTTTTCCGATATTATACGCTTTGGAACTATTCAAAATGGATGTAATAATAAATAAAGTTTACAACATTACGCACCAGAGAATTACTGTTGCAGATACTTCTTGGTGAACGGCTTCAAGGGCCTAAACTTTCGAAACGAAATATTTGTATTATTATTTTTCAATGTGGTACTGCTAATATAAAGCAAACTAATCATTTAAGAAATTCAGTTTTGACACCTAAATTAAATATAAATAGCTTTCACTTTTGCTTTATTTATTTATTTATTTCACTACACATCCAAAAGGCAAATGCCCAGTTACAGGATACAAAACCAATGTAGTAATACAACACACAACGCATTCGAAAATATATGTCAATAAATAGAATTAATAATAATAATTGAACATGGCAATATATCAGCACGAAATATAGTAGACATAATATAATATACATACATATACACACAGAAAAATATATATTAGACCAGCAAAACTATAGTAGATATAAAATATATAAAATCATCACACATAAATAAATACATAGTAGACATAAAAATATAAATACATATGCACACACATACACTTATACATATAGATAGACACGAATCAATAAAATAGTAAAACCAAAAATAAAGTATTAAAACTATAAATTAACAGTAATGAATCCGCTTTTTAATTTTATTAATAGTGAAAAAAATATATCTAACCTGTCCTCAACATTGCAACAGTTCAATCATCTGATATAAAGGAGATGCTTTCATAACGTTAGTTCTTACACTGGATAAATTAAATATATTATTTTCACGAGAAGCAAGCCTAGGAACTTTGATCTGAATTTTGTTCAGTAATAGGTGCAATCAATTAAGTTGTTTAGTATTTTATCTAAAAAGATAATTTGATGTGTAATTCTACATGTTTTTAACTCATTACAATGAAAACGATCAAGTAGGGCATTATGTGGATATCCTCTTTCAGGATATATTCCGTCAAGCTTAAATGCTACAAAAAAAATCTCTTTGAACTTTTTCTAAAGATTCACTATAAAAAGGTACTCCAGACAGGCGATTAATATATTCCAATTTCGACCTAACAAAAGATTCATAAATTAATTTCATAGTATGTATGCTGCAGAATCCTTGAGAAGAACGTATAATAATACCTAAAGATTTATAAGCAGATGATGCAACTATGACAATGTGTTTTATAAAATTTAATTTAGCATCGAAAACAACACCAAGATCTTTTATGTACTGAGGCCTTTGCAACATAGAACTATCAATGTTATAGTTATATTTGATGTAGTTAATTTTACGTGTAAAAGACATTACATTACATTTATCTGCATTTAGAAGTAATTTATTTTGGTTGCACCAAACAGCTATCATATTTATTGCTTTTTGAAGTAGAGCACAATCAGATTCAGATGTAATTTCTGTGAATAATTTCAGATCATCAGCATACAACAAACAGTGTACCCAGTTAACATTCGCAATTATATCATTAATAAACATTAGGAACTATAACGGGCCCAAAATAGATCCTTGTGGTACACCCGACCTCTGCTGAAACTTTTCAGATTTATACCCCCGGAATTGAACAAATTCATTGGTATGCTGAAATCAAACGCTGTTAATTTATCCAATAAAATTCCGTGCTCGAGTCTGTCGAACGCCTTAGAGAAGTCAGTATATACATCATCCACTTGACTCTGACGGTCAAGTTTTTCAGCTATATATTGACATTTTGTGACTAAGTTAATAACCATTGATCTGTTATTCATAAAGCCATGTTGTTCAATAGATATTGTATTTGAAACCCGACTGTAAATGAAGTTGGGAAGTATAGTTTCTAAAACCTTGGCAAAATTACAGATAATACTAATAGGCCTTTATAAATTAAGAAAAAAATATGGTTTCGAAATTGAGATTTAGAAATTCGGAAGAAAACCGGGAAATTGTGACAGATAGTAGCTGGGTTAATTTCATTTTTTCTTATATGAACATATGTCCGATTCATTTTTGTTTAGAAGTTACAAGCATTTTAAAAAATATAATTTCATATTTACATAAACAATAATTATTATTTGTGTTAATTTATTTATTCATTTCACACTTAGTGTTAAATATAAGTAAAGAATGCATTTATTGATATAGATTGATATTGTTTTTGTATATGGGTATTCCAATGGAAACGCCAGACAAGCAGTCCGAGAATACGAAGATACCCAAATAGAGATCAATCTGCTCACACACTTTTTAGTGCATGATTTCGTGGACTTCGAGAAGCTCAAAACCTCGCTCAAAAAAGGCCCATTCGTCCTACTGAAGTGAATGTACAAAATGAAGAAGGTGCTGTCACTGACAATTCGGCGTATAGCAAGTAATCTCATTTATCACCGAATTTTGTATGGTGTGTATTGAACAAATAAATGTTATATCCGTTTCATCGCCAAAGTGTACAAAAGTTACGTACTGGAGATGCTCCTCATCGATTAGAATTTTGTCGCTGGTTTCTTCAATAATATGCACAAAATATTTTACTATGAACGGCACAAATAATGAACATGTCTGGGCGTCACAAAATCCGCATGTAACTAGATCAAGACGATTTCAGCAACGTTTCAGTGTCAACGTTTGGGGTAACATTCTTAACAATAATTTACTGCTCGTACATATTTTAAATGATCATTTAAATGCATACCTGAATAGAACTTTAAACACAAATAATAATTATTATTTTTATCGGACCTATATTCATATAAGAAAAAAGAAAAAATGTTAGAAATTAATCCAGCTACCATATGTCAAAAGTTGTCATAGAGCTTGTAAAACGCCCTGTATAAAAAAATTGAAATATAAAAAATTCAAATATGTTTTACTGAAATAAACCTCAATGAAAATGAGAATAACATATTTGAACAAAATTTATATATTCGGTATAGAGCTTAAGCACAAGTTAACAAAAATGTATAGGTATGTAATATTTTATTTAAAACAACAAAAATAAATTAAATCTTAACTTTTCATAAGTAAAAACAGAAACAAAGTTTCAGCTCTTCATAACTGAAAAACTAACATTTAAAGTGTTTTTTAACCAAATTTCAAAATAAAAGCAAATTAAATAGAAAATGAGCTCAGAAATGAAAAACAATATATGGCAAATTTATTTAAAGGAAAATTTCTTATCTGATGCTTTTGGCTCCAGAGCAACATGCTCTTGGTCATTCTCAACATATTCAGAATCTTTATCTTCCTCTGAAAGAGAAAATAGTACGATGATTTTTTTATTATAAAAATTTCTAAAGATTCTTTATATAATATATTATTGATGTTGATACATATACTTAGTGGCTAGAAGTATATCCTAGACTTTAACAAAATTTTAAATTTTCCATATTTTTCTGTTCCTTCCCATTTTTTTTTCCTGGAAAAAATTAAGTTTTTACACATTGTATAGATGTTAAAATGTAACGTTAACGCCCAACAAAACGTATTTATGGTAAAAAATACGTCAAATGGTTCTATATTTGAATAAAACGAAAACACGTAAATCCAATAACTGTTCAATTCCTCCCGAGAGCCAGGCCTAGAGTTGTAATGCTCAGGAACCCTTTGTTCGAACAAATATTTTATTTAAGTATGGATGTTCGTGGACCCTCTACATATTTCTACATATTTTAAACTTCCTTTATAATGGTATCTTTTCTAGACTTCTGTGTTTGTGAACTTAAAAATAAATACTCATATAGTATTACATCAAACGAATATTAACTAAACGACAAAAATCAGAAATTTATTACTGTGTATTAGATATTTGAATGAAAAATACAAAATATACAATCAAAAACATATATCAACACTGTTGCATTATATTAATAGATACAGCCAGCAGCATCTGTAGTCTGTAACATTGCTGTCTATATATTCCAAGTGACGAGGTTTGTTCCTTCATCAATTGAAGCCTCTTCGCTCGCTTCTCTTTCATTTTGAATATCCTTAGGTCCTCGTGTTAGTGTGTTCTCAGAAGGTTCTATACCAAAAGCGTGAGAAGGTTATCTAGGAGGCAGTTTCATCCCCATTTCACAGATTAGATATGGGTTCATCATTGTATAGTTTCATTGGGTGTAGATGTTTTCTCAGATTACAGTGATTAGTTAGCAGCAACCTAAAATTGCCTACTTTGACTTTCGATAAATTTCAGTATATCATCATCCAGTTTTTGGTAGTTTTTTGACCGACAATTTACTTAGTTCAAGACCTATAGTGTTCCGTTCTTGCTAGGGTATCTACTTCTTCATTGCTTAATTACTGTTGCATTGCTGCATGCTTTAACACACCCATCTGAGTGTTATCTCATAGTGGAAGAAGAACAGTTCCAGACTAGTTTAGAGATAATCACAAGATCATAATAGATACAAGTTTTTCTAGAGCTTTCATTGCTGTTTGGCTGTTAGAGTAGATATGGATCTTTTTGCCTTTATATCCCATTCTGATGTTTTCCTGCAGAAATAGCTTGATGGCATATGCTTCAGCTTGGAATACAGTTATATTGCTTCCAAGGGACTCTATCATCTGAGTTTAAAGTATTCCTGCTGCAGTACGATTGCCAGTTTTGCATCCATCACTACTACTCCAGGCCAACATATTTCTACCGTATCATTCCAATTTACATGTGTATTGAATTTTGAAAATTCAACTTTCAAGGCATATAATCACTGTTCATATCGAGCTGAAATTATCAGCTAACAGATAACAGCTAAGAACTTATTATGCTGAAATATTCTTAGGCTGCTTATCTCATACACCAGTTACTGTTATGTTATTTAGCTTGCCCTCAATTTGGATCCGCTTTAATAAAGCATCAGAATAGTTTTCAATACTTGAAATGCTTTTCATAGCACCCTTAACTCAAAGTAACTCCAGTTTTTAGAGTTTAGATAACTTTATTTCTACCATTATTTGATTTGTTTTTGGGCCACTACCATGGGTTTTAACAGGCATGAAGGTTTTTGCTACTGGTTGACATGTTTCCCTTATTTAAGGTTTTTTTGTAGATGTGCAATCCAGATTAGTTAGATAGAGTCACCCTAGATATTATTCCTCCTGGATCATGTACAATCGTGTGTCGAGGAGGATAGGAGCCTTTAAATCTTCAAGCTTCTTTTATGTGAAAAGTATTACTGTAGTTTTTCCAGTTTATCATCAGGAGCACCTTTACAAACCACTCCCCCATAATTTCCAGAACCGGTTGCATGAGGTCTGATACAGTTTCTTTGTATTTCCCCACTGTATATATCACCCGCATATCCTTAGGTATGGAATTTTTCGTTTGTCAAGAAATTCATGTACAACCAAATCCCACAATAAAACAGATTGTATTCCTTCCTGAAGGCATTCCATTTGGACAGATATCTCGATAGTTGGTTCGGCCTGTCTGTAATTGAGCATTTTTTTATCCACTTACAAATGGTCTCTCACGCCCCTTCATAGAATCTTTCATAGTTTCAAAAGGGATTCGGTAAATGCTTCTTTAATGTTGAGAAATGTTACTAGAGCTAATTCTATGGTTCTGTAGGCAACCTCTATTTTTGACACCAATTAATATAAACGATTTTCTTATTAGACAAGCATGCTGATACTGGTCTTTCTTTGAGAAAGTTTATCTTTGCATAACCAGGAAATATTTACTTTGTCACCCTTATTAAGAATGATGACGGTATGATAGATCCGAATGATTAATCCTGGCAGTAGTTTAGGTATAAATGGTCTGAATGATTTATCCTGGCAGTAGTTTAGATATAAAATGATTCGGGCCGTTTTCCAACTTCTGAGAGTATACCCCGTTCTTCTGTGAGTAGTTTACAAACCACTAGACCCTATTGCAAATGTGCAGAGATTCCATCTGATCCAGGTGCCTTGTAAGTTTTAAAAGAATCAATCACCCATTAATTTTCTTCGTGAATGACTTGCATTATCAGCGAGCCACATTGTGTTACTTTTGTTCCAGAATTTGAAAAATGTTGGCCATTGTATGTTGTTTCACTAGAACCTTGCTAATGTGTTTGAAGGAGATACTTCAGAATCTGACTGCCAATTTCGATATATTAACCATTTGATTTTAATGTTATGCCAATGGCATTGACATTTGCTGAAGATATGCTCTTTCAGAGGTTTCCTCCACGAATCCCTTGTTTGTTGTATTCGGTTATGTAGTGGACTAGTTTTACCGTTCGTCCATCTTTTCCTATTTGTTGAACAGCTTGCGTGATTTTTTCTGAACACAAGCTGTTTATTCTACCAACTGATATCATTGCTGGTGGCTCGCTTTGTCAGAGAGTAATTGTTCTGATACATTGCCTCTTAGAAATCTATTGAAGCTATTAGATCTGTATTTTATTTTATTTTTGATACTTTTTAGATTTATGATTAAGTCCTCTATATGTTGTTTGATTTCAGTAGTCAACTGTTGGCTTGTCAAAAATTGTGATCTCTTTACAGAGACCAAAGAGTAATAGTGACAGTACCTGCCATTGAGTAACCTGTGAGCTTTTACAATAGAATGCCACAGTTATATAAATTATTTTGGAAGTTCAAGTCACAAAAGTAGGTTCGTTCCAGTGATTTAGGAACTCCAAAAAATAAAATCTACAAGATGCTTACCTCTGTTGCTGATATCACTGCTGATCCATGCTGTATGATGCGCATTTGTGTCCATCCCAAAGATTACCTGCAAGCTGCTTACAGTCATACGAAAGCGTTCATTTTTAGGTTATTCAGCTTATTCCTGATAAATATAGGATTTAGTATGACCAACAGTTTACCTCTGACTTCATATAGACTCTATCTTTTCCTAACTATTCATGGTATCTGAGTCAATATTGTCTACGATGCTATTTGCTGAGGACAGTCATAGCGCTAACATATCTCTATATTAGTGTTACTTCAATTGTAAGCTAATGTACATAATCTAAAATACACCTAGTATGCTCTATTGCTTAACTCCTGCAGTGTGTGCTCGTTTTGTGCTTTCGAATGGTTACTCGTATTAAACTCTAGTCTTTTGTCTTGAGACCTTGATTGTATCTCCGGAATCTGCAGTATTCTGCTGCTTAAGTACTGCCTCTTTTTTCTCTAAGAAGTCTGTAAGCATCAACACCGTTTTCTTATAAAAGGACATAAGCACATATTCCTAATAATTCAATTCTACAACTTAACCAAAAATTAGTTTTGATTGTTCATTTTACTTGTTTATTACTGTTAAGGATAAGTATGTAGTAATTATTGACAAAATGAAAAGCTTGTGATGCTTATAGGAAAAATCGAGAAGGTAGTTCTGCGGAATATTAAATTAACGAAATATCTGCGGAACATTAAATTAACGAAATAGTTACGCTTGGATGAACTAGCAAGAGAATTAGGTTATTGAAAATCAATAGTTAACATACAACAGAAGTCCTCAAATCCGCTTGCATCCTCTAATCTACTTTAAAAAAGACGCTTTTGCCAATTATATAATGTACTGAAGAATATAAGACGCAAGCGAGAATTTATTCGGCTTTTTACGATGACATATTCATTATTCATTTACTGATAAATGCAGAATGCTGTCAATTTGTTGGGAAACAACTTTAAGAGCAAAAATTCCTTTATAGAAGGAAATATACAGGGTGGCCAAATGAAAACGAAATGGAGCCATTTTCAGGAACTGCGTCAAGATTGTAGAAACACGCTCGGCCCCGTCGATTTTAGATTAAAGAGGGACATTTTTTGCTGGTATTTTTGACTCCGCCACTTTCACCCCCAAGCAAGGGTAAGCATCACCCCAAAATATTTAAATGGCATTGGGGGTTGAGTAATATTTCTTTTGAAAGCTCTTACAATTCTCTGTACAACAGACTTTAAATTTTATAATTCAAAAATATAAGTCAAAAATACCAGCAAAGAATGCCCCCTTTAATCTAAACTCGACGGGTCTGAGCGTTTTTCTACAATCTTGACGCAGTTCCTGAAAACGGCTCTGTTTCGTTTTCGTTTGGCCACGCTGTATAACAGCCCGCAACCTAATCGTGAGCAGATCGTTAGCAGGGCTTGTACTCTACATTATTTACAATTGAACATTATATGTCTCTGTTGCTGTTCAATTTGTAATTGGTGCACTTTTGTACCCATTAGTACACTTTGGATGTAATTCAAATAAAATAAAGTAAGCATAAAAAAGTCGAAAATTATTACTTGTTTTCCTGCAGGTTTGTCGAAGTTTGCCAAGCTAGCCCGCTCAGTGACAAGAAGCAGATCGGTGCTGGTCTCTCAGTTCTCGTCGCACCTACCGAATCTGAAGGACACCACCAAGCAGTCGCACCTGGCACAAGTAAACACCCCCAACCACTTCGACCAGCAATTAACCTGATTTTTTTTCCATGCTGCTTTGGATTTTCTTTTGAATTATATTATTTGACCACTAGATGATGAGCTTAAGTGCGGACATCATGCCACAGTACAGGCAGGAAGCCCCCAAGACCCCTCCACATATTCTACTTCACTACTGCGCCTTCAAAGCTATTTGGGATTGGATTATACTTTGTTTGACTTTTTATACAGCCATTATGGTTCCTTACAACGTAGCTTTTAAGAATAAGACATCTGAGGTAAAACGTTTTTTATTTTTTATGGTAAGGAGACGTAAAATTAATGGCAAATACAAGTAAAATCAATTTAGCCCTTTGCACTTTATAGGCGACACTGCCATTTTATGTTACAGCAGTCGCACTATTGTCTAAGTCAGTTGACGTCAAGTTTCAGACAGGGTGAGTAAGATAATTTTCTCGCTTATTTGAAGGTATATGAAAATACTAAAAATTCACAATTCACTACACTTTAGAATAATAAAAAAACAAATAATGACAATTGAAAAAGATAGCGACCAAACCATATTCTTTAAATATAATATAATGCGTATTTACTTACTTTGTAATGAAATTGTGCTTGATGAAAAAAAATATTTCAGTTATAGTTAGCTGCAAAAATAAAACAATATAGAAGTAGTAATTATTAATACCTAATGAGTGGCATTTGCTGCGAGTTGCATTAGTAATTCTGTTTGGCTTTGAACAAAAATTGTTGTTCTTACTCCTAAATTAAATGTCAGTTTTTGCTTCTCCACTGTTTGGAACCCCTGAGTCCTCTGATGGTTGTGCTCCTGTTTGGATAGGGCCACTATTCGCCTTATTTTATGTAGTGTATAAGTTGACAGCGATTCCAGAAGTTCTCAATAGTTTTGAATATTATTAATTTTAAGCAACGTTTTGCAGATTTATCGATTTTAGGTACTGAAGATGCTTATTATGAATTCCAATTTATTCAATTATTCAAAAAATACTCATCCAACAAGTGATGCTCTATAACAAAATATGTTAAATCTAGTATTAAAATATAACAAAATGAAAACTTGAAACAAAGGAATTAAATATAAAAGAGAAAAAAAAACATACAAATAACATAAATACAACGAACAAAACAAAAAGTTAACAAACAATATAAGGTACACATGGCCATTTAAGTAATTTTTAGACTATAAGTCGGACAACAAAAAATGTCGGTATTATTTTCTACCTAACTATACTAGGATATATACAACTGTGAGGCTACATGGATGTTTATGCATTCTGTGGATAGATTATTAAAATCCTTATTGCTTCTAGCTGAGAATAATTGTATTTTGATGTGAATGTTATTTAAAACACTAGGACTGTCCAATATAGTATGGAGAACCTTATATAAAAGCATGACTTGAGAAACGGGTCTTCTTTTAGAACCGTCATGAAATGTTGAACTGCTCAATTAATAAATCCTGCAGAAAACTCTGATGGGCATATGTACCATCTAGTAAGTATATAGCTGATTTAGCTCTACTATTTCCAAAGCTGCAACGAATATGAGTAATGTGTAGCAGTCGTGGTGTACAAATATTAACAAAGTCTTTGGAATTCCCCATATTTTTTAATCCAGACGACGTAATATGTCTATATGTTTCATAAAAGATAAAGTCGGATCAAAAATGTAACTCCAACGTCTTTTATGTAATCAGGTCTATGCAGTGGTTTAATATCTAGTTTATAACCAAAGAGGGCAGAATTTCTTTCTAATGAATTTAACCATATTACACTTGGAAACATTTAACGTTGTTAAATTATTAGTTTGATACCATCGACTCATAACATTAATCAGAAATGACGAGTGTTTATTTCGAACAGAAGTTCAAGATCATCTGAATACATTATATGGTGTACTTGTAAGTCAGCTATGATGTCGTTTATAAACAAAACAAAAAGGGTCCGAGAGTAGAACCTTGAGGCACACCAGATATTTTCTGAAACTTATGAGACTTAAAACCACGACATTAAACAAACTGATACCTATTTGTAAATGATTCAAACAGTTGCAATTTCAGATATAAGTACCAAACCTATCCAGTTTGTACAACAAGCACGGTCGAGTCAGTCAAAAGTCTTAGTGAAGTTCGGTATAAATAACATCCACTAGCTTTATCTTGTCTATTTTATTACTAATAAGCTGTGTTTTCTGTACAATGTCAGTAACAGTAGATCTGCCTTTAATGGAGCCGTGTTGCTCACACTACAACAACCCAGACAAAAAAACCGTGTAATAAAATCTCAAGTATTTTGGAGAAGTTGCAAGTAATAGAAATTGGCCTGCAATTAACTAATTCATTCTCACTGCCCTTCTTGTTCAACAATTGTGACAATTTTCGAGATTTATTTTTATTTGTTTAGATTAATGCATTCTATCTATCATTAAAAATCATCTCCAAGTTTGTAAGCACCCCTACAGTTTGGTCGCCATTGTTCTATTTGTCATTTATTTGTTTTTCTGTTCAAATTTTTAAATATTTCCTAGAAGTTCTAGGTCGACACAATTTTTAAGTTTGTTCATATTTGTTATATCAAGTGAAATAATAGAAGTGGCTCACATCAAAACGGTTACTGTATTCTCAAGAAAATGCACAAATTTCAAGGGAATATTGCTAAGGTAAATAGCTAAAAATATGTATAAAGCAACGTGCGGTAATGCACTGTTTCAGAAATATAGACTCTTAACTCATTGATCACAATTTATCTCTTCAGAAAATAAAATAATCCCACCAAAAGCATCTATCAATAACTTACTCATCCTGTATATTAACGCAGTCTTTTACGTGCGCATATATTTCAAAATTTTGTAAAATATCTCTAAAGAAACTTTTTAACTGGATTTAATTTCAACCAAAAACAAGTTTTAAGAGGAGCAAGCTAAGTTTATGAGTATTTCATGTTTACTGGAGTGCAAAGGGTTACATATGTGATAGTGATTTGCAGCATTAGGATAAGTTTTAGCATAACGAATAGTATGTATAACGTAAATAAAGCAGAAGTTGATTAGAAGTGTACAAAAATTTATTTTTATTATTATTTTCAAAGGTTTAGTTATTCCTTTTATTCCAGAAATTTGCCGATAAATTAATTATGTTTTAAGTAAAATATAGATGGAGGTCTTAATTTTTTAATACAACTTTAGTTATCTAATTTTATACAAACATGTGCACTACTTTTTTTTGTTTTTAAATGGGATGCCTTATGTGGTCCCTGATACTAACATTTATTTGAATTTATAAAATATAGCTTATATCCATCTCGCTGGTATTGATTTAATAGAATTTTTCAACAAATGAATTGCTAAAACTGTCGTATATAAATTTCCGTTAGCCCATGTCGAAAAAATCAATGATTTCTGCCTAGTTCTGAAAAAACATAAAGATGTATAGGTCCCCTTTTGCTTAGACTATTTTATGAGCTTTCAGAGAATAAAATCCCCATAAAAAGCTCAGTTTATCCAAAGATTAACAAACACTGGAAAAATACTACTACATCTAAACAGTTTCTGCATTATTGTGACACTGATTTCTTTACTGCTTTCATATGCCTATCAAAAATTATTACAATTTATTGTTACAGCTTATTAATACTAAATCATAACTTCGGTAGATATTAAAAAAAAAATAGAAAAATACAGTATACGTTGGGAAACTATATTTTTTCGTTCTTTTGGCCGAATCAAGAATTGGATAAATAAAAAAAATGTTTCCCGATATATTTTGCTGCGACAAACCTCAATAAATATGAAAAAAATAATATATTTCAACAAAATTCACTACAAATAAAAAAAAACTAAATCTTAAATTTTTAAATTTTCATTTTAAATAAAATATTTCACGTGTTTTTTACCAAATTTCAACAAAAAAGCAATTTGGAATACTATACATTCAGAAAAAAATAATTTGCTGGTTCATTTAAAGGAAGGTCCGTGCTTCTTATTACAGGACAACATGATCATTCCCAATATGTTCAGAATCTTTATCAGCTTCTAAAAATGGAAATCGTCTAATAATTTGTTTATTAAAATAATATCAAAAAGTTATTATCTTACATAATAATATATTATTATATTGGCAACCATATACAACCGGATATAAAATCCAATAACGAAAGTTTCTGAATTTTTCCATTTTCTTTAAATTTTTCTGGAAAAAAACAGGTTATTTCCAATGCTCAATTTTTCCGAACCGTAAACTTAAGTACATACAAGAAAGAATAGGCTAATATAATTTATTTACCAATTAAATCTATGTAGATTTGTCTCATAAAATATAATATATGCATAAGAAAGTAACAGACATAGATTTAATTTACAAAAAAAATAAGTTTGTTATTGTAATCAAATAGCTTATACTCGTATATGTTAGACATTGCATTGCTATATTTAGCTTATACAGGGTGTCCCAGTATTCCTTGCACATGGAACTTCAATAGATTCAAGGCGATATAACTAACTTAACCTTAACCTATTCAAACTTGCTTCGTCTAGCATCAAGAGGGCGTCAAAGTTACCAAAAAGCTTCAGTTTTTTGCCAAGTTTCTATAAAACTCTGTCCGATTTAAATCAGTTTAATTTAAATATGCCACTTTTGACGTTGTAAATGAAATATGTAGTTACATTAATAATTAAATTTCTCCATATTTTTTTTTACATGTTTTACAACTTCACTTCTTATATAAGGTTGGTAAGAGATTTTTTTAAAGGTTTTTTTTAGTATTCCTAACCGTTTTTGCGTAATTAATTACTTTATTAATCATCAACAGCGTATTTTTGATACTTTGAGTTAATTATCTCCAAAAATTTGACTTAGGTACTTCTTAATAAAAATTAAATTAATCTTTACTGAGTTCAGAAACTTGTAGTCTAAAATGTTTGGAAATAATCAATATTTCAGTCAAAAACAAAAAACGTTCATTTCATATCTTCCTCATTTTACAAATTATGCACAGTCGTCAAATTCATGTAATTTAATAGTTGTCAAATAAGACAACCACAGAAGTTAAAATTTTTATAGTTATAAATTAGAGAATTGAAGAAATCTGACATGATCCTTTTTATCAAGTTTTGTATCACTGTCAATGATGTTAGTCTCAATAATTTTCATCAAGAATCATTCCACAACTTTCTGAACTCCACAAAGCTTTATTTCATTTTATTATCAATTAGATCAAACTATTTGAGATAAATTAAATCAGATTATTTTTTCGAAAATCCTTGGTGATGATTAATAAAATAATTATGGGTAAATAATCAGGAATACAAAAAGAAAAAGTCGAGATAAACTTGAAGAAAGTCCCTTAAGATAAATAAAGAATTAATTGTAGGTTTTAAGATCACCAAATAAAATTATATTGAGAAATTTGATTGGTGTTGGAGGTATTTTCCCGAGGGCGGAACATCTTATTTGAGGCGTCATGCTCATACCGTGTTCCTACTGTGCAACTGTCATGTCGTGTCGTGTTGCGTACATTTTCACTGAACGTTCAGCTACTGTTGTCAAACTACAACGTGTCAGTTTACGAAATTAATCAGGATGAGGAAGACGTTGTGGTAACATGTTTTGCTTACATTCTTCTCAAACGAGAACAAAAAAAGAGAAAGAAAATATTCTGGATTCATCTCTTGTACCGGGCAAGAGATGAGGAAGGGGAATTTCACACAATTTTCTACAGATTGATAGATGATCCTATCAAATTTGTGAAGTATTTCCTAACGAATTATCCAAAATTTCGAGACCTATTGGAATTGGTTCGTCCACATATTCAGAAGAAGAACTCAACATTTAGATCTATCTATCTTCTAACCGCAGGCAGGTCCCATGTCGCGAATCGCTTCCTCGAGCAATTTGCAACCAACGGTTAGCGCACAGCAGGCGCACAGTTGTAACATGACAGTTCAAGTGAAAATGAGAATTGATGTTTTCCGTCTTATTACGTGGAAAAATATTTTTGAGATTCTAGACGATACAACATGAACGGAACATGGTCGGAGCACAGTACCCTAAATGAAAACCAGCCTTAAAGTGTACACCTTCATTTTTTTAATAACTCTTAGGGGCTCACCTTTAAAGCGCTGTAGTAAGAAAATTCCAAGTAAAGCCTCATTAAATCCCTCAGAAAATCTATACCTCCTCTTAAATCTCAGTACATTCTTGCTACATCCGAGTAAATGTTAGAAAAAAAATTAAAAGATAAAACTTAACCTTTTTATCAATTTTAACGCCCTCTAATGGGTAAATGAAGATAGAGGTAAATTTAGTTAAATCACCTTAATTCGAGCCTAAGAATTTCTGGTAGTTCTACGTACACGGAATATTGAGACACCCTGTATATTATAAATAGGTGTTATTTTTAGGATGTATCTCTATTGGTTGTGGACTCAATTGTCGATGTGATATTCTTTATCGATATAGTTTTAAACTTCCATACAACTTTCGTTGGACCGGGTGGGGAAGTGGTCTCCGACCCGAAAGTTATCCGTATGAATTATTTGAAAAGTTGGTTCATAATCGATCTTCTGAGCTGTTTGCCGTATGATGTATTCAACGCTTTCGACCACGACGAAGACGTAAGTATTTATTGGAGCTCATTTAACTTTCAATTAAAGGGGTTTGATTAAACAGCTTGTTAAGTAACAGGTACAAAGCGCACGGATCTCTACAAAGCATTCCGTTTAAAATTGCCCCCTCCGATACAATTATTTTCGAGAAATATTATTTAATGGACATGTACTACTTAAATTTGGATATAAATGACATAGTTCTTCATAGCGATGCATAAGGGGAAGTGCGGGAGGCCCAAATTTGACACTTTTGGAGGCATTCTTATATTTCCCGAAAAGATAGATTTTGTGAGCCCGATTTTCGAAAAAGTTGAATGACGAAAACCGCGATCCAATATATTCTTTTAAGAGATACTGAGCGTTTTTCAATTTCTATCGTTACTTATGATCCTTTATAATTTTTTTGTTTCGAGTTCGATTTCCGTAATAGGTTTGTTTATACAACTTTTTACGAAGAATCTAGCGACGGAAACAACACTTCTCTATAACTTCGAGTTTTTCAGTTGTAATCTAAGTGTATGTATTTTAAAATGGAATACCCTACATATTTCTCAATTTTTTAAACTGGCATAAAATTTCCTTTCAAATGGCTTGTCATAGATGATCCACAAAAAAAATCTTTCAAGGAATAAACGTCAAAAATATTTTTTTATTTGTTCTTCAACTGTTTCTTAACACAACGGAGTGTGCCATGGTGTACTTGTTATATCGAAGAGCAAAAAAATAATATTTTTTGGTATTCAAACCCTGAAAACATCATTTGAATAGAAATTTTACGTAAATTTAGAACGCATAAAAAATTTACATTTTATTATAACTTGAAATTATAGAAACATATTGCGTACGCCAATGGATTTTGCGTAAAAAACTGTAAAAACACCCAATATACAAAACTAAAATATTTTTACAATAGAAAAACTTTATAAAAAACAATCAAAATCGAAAAACAGCCAGTATTTCATAAATAAATGGAGATGGAAATAAATGAACTTTAGCTGTATAACTTTTCTTGAAAATCAAACCAGTGACATCTGAAATTTTCTTTCTACTTTTTCGAATAATTGGAGACAACCTCTAAATGTGTGCAGTTTGATCCATCTTGTACACAAGCTTTTCATGAAAAGATTATACAGGGTGTTTCAGTTCGGGTGAATCAAACTTTAATCACAAATAGAACTTTACTACTCATGACCTACAAAAATTTGTAAATTGTACAGTAAATTATGCACATGTGCAAATGTTAACACCACACCAAATTTGAATCAATTTGCTATAAGCATACCAAAGATTTCATAAATAATATGGTGAGACTTAGACCCTTGCTTTCTAAGGCAATTCTGAATTATTTATTGAGTTCTATTTGTGGTTAAAGTTTGATTCACTCGAACTGAAACGTCCTGTATAATTAGAATTTTCTGAAACAGGGAATTTGTGCGAATTAATTTATTACAGGCGTTAAAATTTTGCTATTTTCTTGACAAAGTGCTAGAATGACGGCAATTTATTTTTTCCAAATAGTGTAAATATGTATAAAAAGGTGGTTTTAAAAAACAATAAAGACGATAAAATGAGGAAAATTGTTTGTATATTCCTATGACATAATTTGCTTCCGAATCCTGAACATACAATATAAAAGGTGTTAACGAAATAAATACACAAAATTTGAAAATGTATAAAACATGTCGAAATATGATGAAAACCTTAGTAGAGTTTTTGTCAGTGGCGGCCCCTAAGGGAGATACAGCCCCTTAAGGGGTAACTCAGGAAACGGTTTTTTTTTTGCATAACTTCAAAACGGTTTAATATTAAATCACAAAATTTTGGGATTGTATTACTATTTGTATGATTAATAATAGTAAGTAAGTAAGTAAGTAAGTAAGTAAGCATTTATTGGTGTTATTACATAAGAAAAATGTTTACACACGTCAAAGAAAAACATGGCCAAAGCATACAATTAAAATACAATTCAAAGAGAAGCACATCATATTATAAAAACAATCATAAAGTACATAAAGTACAGATAACTATAAAATACAAACACTACATTTCGACTTACAATTTAAAATTAGATTAGCAAAATTATGATTTAAAAATTCATCAAGTGTATAGTAGTAGTTAATAATATACAAATCAAAATTTGCTACCGAGCCGTAAAAAAATGCGGGACCATGTGGCAAATTTTCCAATTTTTTTTTAATGTAATTTTTTCTAATTCCTGAATCGAAAATATGAAAATTTATCATATTTTGCATAAAAAGGTACTCTTATTAGATTTTAATAGCATGATTCTAGTAAAATCCATTTCAATAATTTCTTACGTTCTCAGAAATTCCTGCTGCAAAATAAATATATCAAATTATGCCATAAAAAAAATACTATTTGTGACACTTAACAGAGGTGTCCAGTATATGTCAATTACTGATTAGATTACCTACTCAAAATTCCAATTTGAGAAATTTGAATAGGACAGGTGATCCGCGCGGATTCCTCTGTGAAAATTATTATTCATTGTTTAAAATTTGTTAATTTTACTAGATTTTTTGTTCAATTTAGTCGAGACACAAATGCGATCCGAATAAGTTTTTCTTGAATATTCCCTAAACTTAATTTTGGCACTTACCCTGTTTGACACTTTCACATTTCATTTCAATTAGTCTGTGTATATAATATTGCGGAAACTTTTTACCAAAGAGCTTTTTGGTGTAACTTCTAATCAACTTTGCACCGCCTTAATTGCCTCGTTATCATTTGTAAACTTCTAACTCTACAAGTGATCCCAACAAATGAGTCTGACGATGCCTTGTTCGGGTACTTCATCTTTCAGAGAGTATAGCAATATAGCATATGAACGTCGTCATATGTTACTCTTTAGAGGCGACAATAACCTTTTTGAGTGAATTTTCGGGTGTTAGATAATAACGTAAGCTTCATTCTGTTAACTAACATGTTACTGTTCGTCTACTCGTCACAACTTCACCTTTTCTTATAAATGTACCAATATAGAACCAGTTTACTTACAATTTCTTGAAATTTTTTGGCCCCATGTTTCATACTTTCTAGTAGTAATGACGTATCCAAAGCTCGCTTACAAATTCAAAGAAGATATAAACTTAGTTAAGATGTTAGAAGTGGCGTTACAAAGCCAAAGGAAAAAAACAGTATATAATCAATTTATATAAGAACTCTTATAACAACGTTATTAAACAATCAATATTATTTAATATCTTTCCCTGATAATATCAATATTCGTCTGTTTGTTTTTGAGCAGGAGTTTCATTACACAAGCACAAAAAAAATTAAAAAGTGGTTTGATCTATGAACTGCTGTAATCGCACAGAAACGTGACTGACATCTAACTAAAAAGTCATATTCCACCATACCTCTAAGTATTTTAACTATTCCTAACCCAAAAACTCGATATAATTATAGTCCTGTATTTTAATTATAATTAGGTAATTCAATTACATATTTACACATTCACACGTACTGATGTTTGAAAATATGTAGGTACTAACAAGTCTGGTTTGAAAGGAAAAACTTGTTGCAATAGTCTTGTTGCAATTCTTTTGTTGACCCGAATTTGAACCCTGAAAATGATCATGTACATTAACAAATTCATTCATTTCATACATGATCATATGGGACATCAGAGCATTTGACGAGGCTTTACTTCAACATTTTATGTTCTAGTGTGCCAGACTAAAAGTTTGATTAAAGTCGTTAGGTTAAAATTTATTTATACCCCGTTGGAAAGGCAAACGAAAAAGAGATAGATACAATTCAATTCCTTTGTTCGCTTGCATTTAGAAAATGAAAATTTCCATCCTTTTGAAGAGAATTCGCGCAGATGCAAAATTGAAGGAAGATGTTTTTTGTTGACCACAAATTAGAAAAATGTTAAACTACCTGATTTTTATCATAAGAATGACCAACAAAGAAAAGGAAAGATGGCGTAGCTTTAAGAGAGTTGTTAAAAACATACATAACCATAAAAATAAAGAGTACAAAAGGAATGATGCAAAACTTCCACAGAATGGGATGTTTGATGAAGTGAAGATGCACTTCCTGGATTCCCATATAGATTAATTTGTAATTTCAAAATAAACCCTGGGTTTGGGCATAATTCATGAATACTTAAATATAACCTGTTCAACCGCATCGGTGCCCCATATGATTCCTCGCAAAAAACGATATTCATGTTTTTGTGGCCATTTCTGTCATAATCTTTGATTCACTGGACCAAACAAAGATTCAAAGAATACTTGGCAACAAGGAATTCAATTTCATGTTAGTTACGCCACTTATTGATAAAATCCCAAAATGATTTTAGCGATTCATAGTCGAATATTTGGGGCTTGGAAATAAACCATGATCCGATTGAATAAATCTAAACAAACCATATTTTTCTGTTCCTGTGTAATTAATGGGGTTTCATCCTTGAACAGGAACGGAAAAGAGCAAAAAAGCAGATAAAACAAAATCAAGGTAGATTTTACATATCAAAAACCAACCTGATTAGGGAGCCACTTTAGTAATATGTGAAACATTAAATTATTATGAATAAGCAAAGTAGCACAAATGAATAGATTAATTTTTATCACTTTTACTCACAGTTCAGTTCTGAATTTTGTCTGTATGCTAACGTCACTTTCCACAATCCGTAACACTGGCAAATTTTCGAACTAATTTTTTATGTAAATCCCTTCTCTTGATTTACCGGGTTTAAATGATCATCGTTAAAGTCAGACGGTAATCTTTAACGTTAAAAAAATCATTCACCTGACAATGTTCTACAACTAGAAAATGTTTGTTTCTGATTTAAACAATTCAATATAAACCTCAATATTTTGTAAATGCAAAGATAAAGTCGTAGAAATAGTGGAAGTATAAAATATAAGAAAACGTACGCAGCACAAGCTTTGGATGATGTAACATTTTACAGCCCACATTTGGGTCATTTGTTCTCTGTAATGGATTTATTAAAATTTATCTTTAAACGAACTATC